CACACGCTACGCCGAAACGAAAGCCCTTCCTTTAGAACTGCTGTGGAAGTTGCCAAGTTTTTCATCACGTTCATCGTCCTCCGGCATGGCGCTCCCAAAGGTCTGATTAAATATCGTGAGTCATCGTTCATGGCACAGCTGATGCAAAAGGTCCTCCGTCTTAGCCACACCAACCACCGGCGAACCACAGCGTCCCGTCCTCAGACTAATGGGCTGACAGAAGGCCTAAACAAGACTACCGCCGACATGGTGTCGATGTACGTTGATCTGGAAAACAAGACGTGGTACGAGGTTCTGCCGAAAGTCACATTCGCCTACAACAGAGCGGTCCAGGAAACCACTGGTGTTACACCGTTCCAGCTGGTGCATGGTCGCAAGGTGGCTACGAAGCTTGACACCACTCTACCTTACGAGCCAGCTGGCAACGGAAGTGAAGACGCTTAAGTGGTTATGCAACGAGCAGAAGTCCGCAAACTTGCCCAAGAGCGAATCCAAGACCAGCTACGTGTCGACGCTGGCCGCTACCACCTTCGTTGTTTAGACGTTCACTTCCAGGCCGGAAATCGTGTGTCTGTGTGGACACCGTTACCACGTCGTGGCCTCAGCGAGAAACTTTTAAAGCGCAACTCTGGACCAATCAAGGTCCTTCGACGCCTGGGAAATCTCAACTACGATGTTGTGCCGAACGGAACGCACGTATCATCACGACGCCGACCACGACCCGAGGTGGTTCACGTCGTTCGACTCAAGCGATTCTATGCTCTATAGGACTCTGGACCTTATGCGTTTCAAATGACTCTTTAGTTTAATTCAATTCAATTCATTTTATTTACTCCCCTTTTTACATATGGGTGACGGAGACAGGGAAAAAAGCTGCAAAGTGTGCAGCTTGACAAAGCCCCTGCCCCCTATCGGCAGATCGGCAGACAGGAAACGTTAACAGAAACATTTTAAAGGCGAAAAAACAAAACAGGCAGTTCTATGCAGGAGAAAAAAGTTTAAAAGTTAGAAGTGAATATTGTGCGTATTGTTTTCTTATTTAGTGCATCAAGACAGACATGGTGGTATCTTAAAAAGTTCAGTAATGTTGGCAATGTATGCTGTAACATTTGAAGCCCATAATTTGTTCTAGGACGAGGTACTCTCAGGGACCCGGCGCTACGCACTCCGTATACCGTATTTTTAACACTTAGTCTAGAAAACCGCAGTAATGGGTGGTTAAAATACTTAAGGGATGCCGCGTATACTGTCGCAAGCTTATATTTGTAATATTCTTGTATTTTTATTACTTTATGCTTACAGAAAAGTGGATCGGTGTGTGCGTAATACGACGCATTGGCTACGACTCGAATTGCTCTCTTCTGCAATAAAAAAAAGTTTATTAAGGTTTGTACTGGTCGTGGTTGCCCACACCAGGTTACAGTAGGATATACGAGAATGGAACAATGCATTATAAATTAAGAGTTTAATACTATATGGTAATGTATGGCGATGCTTATATAGAATTCCTACGATATTTGAAAGCTTAAGTGTAAGATTTTGAATAAAGGAGTCCCATAACTTATGTTCATGAAAAATTATGCCTAAAGTTTTTACAGTGCTTGCAAATTCAATTTCCGAAGAATTCAACATTAACTTTACATTAGGATTGCACACTCTACCTTTTGATTTAAAGATAATGGCTTTTGTTTTGGTTTCATTTATTTTTTGGGAATTTGAGACAGTCCATGAACTAAGCTTTTGCAGACATGTGTTTGCATCGGCTATCATTATATCAATATTGTTTCCTGAAAAAAATATACTAGTATCGTCGGCATACATGACAAATGAGGCGTTACTTGCAATAGCGACTACATCATTTATAAATAAATTAAAAAGCAGTGGCCCCAAGACACTACCTTGAGGTACCCCTGTTCGGACTGCTTTCAGCATAGAAGAAAAACCATTAATTTCAACTGTTTGCATCCGACCGCTTAAGTAACTTTCAATTAAAACAAGAGAATGCCCTCGAAGGCCATAGAAATTTAATTTTTTAAATAGAATTTTATGATTTATCCGGTCCAAAGCTTTTGAAAAATCGATAAATATCCCCAACGTTAAGAGTTTGTTTTCTATATTATTTAGAATAATTTCTTTTTGCTGTAGAAGAGCTAGTTCAGTAGAGCGGCCTTTCCGAAAGCCATATTGAAAATCAGTAAATATCGAATTTTTTTCACAAAAGTTGTTAAGTCTAGCTTGTATAATCTTCTCTAAGCCCTTAGAAAAAACGGGTAAGACTGAAATTGGTCTGTAATTGGACATGTCATTTCTATCTCTAGACTTATATAAAACAGACACCTTCGCAATCTGCATACCCTTTGGAAAAACGCCAGTCGAGAGCGACAAATTAAAAATATGTGTGAGGTACGGCGTAATGATGTCAATCACATATTTTACCGGCTGCACCTGTATACCATTAAAATCAACACATTTACTGTTTTTGAGGTTTAAAAGCACCGAACATACTTCACACTCATCAGTAGGAAATAAGAAGCAGTTTTCTGCTATGCGTTGAGTTAAACAAAGATCACCACTTTGTAACTGAACAGGGGAAAATAGATTCGTAAGATAGTCATTAAATTTATTTGCTAACTCTACTCCACTGAAAGTTCTATCATTTATTACAAGTTCTTTGATAGCGTTTGCTTTACCGTTACGATTTAGGATATTATTAACTTTTTTCCAGATAACGTCACTTCTATTTTCATTATAAAACATTTTATAGTAATATGCACTTTTTGCTTTTCTTAACATACTAATTACTTCATTCCGACACTTTTTAAACATTTTAAGCACATCCAGGTCTTTCGTCCGCACGAAACGCTCATAAAGCTTGTTTTTATTTGTTATCATTTTTAGTATATCTCTGGTAATCCACGGTTTTCTAGACTTTTTGTGTGGCGTTTTTTTTCGAAGTTTAAAACATTCTTTATATAATAGACAAAATGTAATAATAAACCAATCATACGCTTCATCGGCCGAATCCATTGAGAGTATCCCGTCCCAGTTTTGAGATTCCACACGGTGTCTAAACATACCTAGCGTTTCCGCGTTAACAACCGGAGAAAAAAATGCACTATTATGACACGGTTTTTCTAGGTTTTCGAAATCAGAAAAAATATAAATTGGAAAATGATCACTGACATCAGAGCACACAACACCCGCGGTAATCCGGGTCAGAGGTATGTTTGTAATAAATAAGTCAAGAACCGTTTCACTGCGTGACGTCACTCGAGTAGGATGCGTGATCACATTAGAAAAACCGGAAGATTGAAACAAAGAAGAAAACTCAACTTGACAAGCGGTAGCACAACTCATATCTATTCTAAAATCACCCCCCAAAATTAAACTGTAACCGTTTTCACCAACTAACTGAAATACTCTTTAAAGAAATCTCAAAAAAGCAGATAAATCACCATTTGAAGGTCTATACAATACTGCAAGTAGAGTGTTTCCGAGTTTCACACATAGGGATTCGTAATTTTTAGTCATAGAAGTAATGTCTGTCATGAGACTGCACTGAGTATCTTTTCTTACATACATGGCTATTCCGCCACCGCGCCTTGAGCAGAGATTTAAATAAAATGTCGAATAATTATCAAAGTTCAAGACATCTGATTCTTGCATAAACCACGTCTCGGTCAGCATTAGCACGTCAAAAGAAAATCCGAAGTCATTAAGAAAAATTCCAAGCTCATCGCCTTTATTACGTGCCGAACGTACGTTTAAATGAAAAACAGAAAATGGTTTTACTTTCTTGTTATCAAAAACCCTTCCCAAATCGGAAGGAAAGCAGACGTCTAAGTTGGTCATCTTCACAGAAACAAAACAAGAACACATAAACGCCTCAGCCTACCTTATCTACAGTCTGTCAAGGTCATCTCTGTTCTTTATCGGAATGGCACGCATGCCTGCAGACTTTCGAACAAAAACCTTTCCATTCCCGTACCACGCGAAAGCGTAGCTTTTTTCTTTAGCCATGTCTTTTGTGGCCCGAAGAAGTTCTCTGTTGAAACGAGTGAGGTTTTCTTGAATAAATATACGTGGGGTAACGTCCTTTAGAGTGCTTCTTTTCTTCAGCCATATGTCTTTGGTGTCTTCTCTAACAAAGTGAATAATAATTCCGGGAACGTGGTCTTTCCTTGCCGGCAACCTGTGTACAGTTACAACGTCGGAAACCTCTAGGTGAGGAACCTCTATTTTGTCAGCAACTTTATTTAGCTCGGTAATCAAGTCCTCATTTTCTGTCACCGGAATGCCGTGAATCTCTAGATTCAAACGCCTGCTTCGGAATTCTAGGTCATTTACTTCTTTCTGGAGTTCACCGTTTACTACTCTGCTCATTTTTTTCTTTTTCCTCCAAGTCTGTTACCCTTTTTCTCAGTTCTTTGATTTCAGCTTCTTGGTGTTTGATTTTCTTTTCGAACTCATCGAATTGCTTCGACAGAAACTGGACAGACAATTCCATACTGTCTACTTTCACTCTAAGCAGAGGGAGACTGTCCAGCTCTGGTTGATGGATGCAAGTAAAGATTTCACATCAAGTTCAGGTTCCTCATCCTCACTGTTATTAGCACGCTGTCCGGCAGCTCTACAAGGAGGACACCGCCATGTCGACTTTGCCGCTTCACTTTTCCCATTAAAGGATTTCTTTTTTATACCGGCGCATTTCCCGAAATGGTACCTGCACGCGCACATGCTACATTCGACAGGCCCGTCATCCTCAAGGAACGGAAACTGACAGGATGAACAGGCGTCAGACATCGTTCACACAACACGAGGAAACAAAACACAAGACGTTACTGCAGTCCCAGTGGCAGCGGCAGCAGTGACAGCATGGATTCGGTCAAGATGAAAGAATAAAGAAGTTTACCAACGTGCAATAGGCGTGTTGTTCGGTTAGCAGTGTTGACAAGACGCTGCCGCCGCTGCCAAATGACTAGCACGTGTGTGTGTGTGTTCGTCGTTTGGTTTTAAACGTCACCTAGGTTAGCCTAGCACGGGGTAGCTGGCATGGGCAGGTAACGTAAAAAAAAAAAAAATTAAAGTCGGGTTATGGTTTTTGTGTCTCGTAGAAATGCCAACATGGCTTTCAGGATGTTCTGACACTTTCGTCCGGAACCGTCGGGTGCAAGGATGTCATTTGTTGTGAGGTCGCTCTTGCCAAGTCTTTTGCGCAGTGCTGCTCGTTGAGTTTCGTATGCTGGGCAGACACACAGAATGTGTTCCACCGTCTCTGCGGAGTTACACTGGGAGCAAAGTGGGTGCTGCCCCTTACCTATCTTCGTAAGGAAAGCATTCGTGTAGGCCGTGTTTGTGCGCAGGCGTCGCACAAGAGTCTGCGCCGCCCGAGATAGGCCGGACAGCGCACCTCTTGGTAGCGCCGGTTTTGGCTTGCTGTCTTGAAGGTGCCAGTGGACGTTGAGTGCCGCCTGCTGTGGGTGTGGTGGTGTGGGGACAGTGCGAGGCGCTAGGTGAGCTTCACCGGCCAGACTGTCAGCCCGTTCGTTGCCCTTAATGCCAGTGTGTCCTGGGATCCACTGGAAACATACCGTAGATCCGTGGGTTAACAGGAATGATAGAGTTTGTCTCGCTGCAGTGGTCGCGGGATCCGCGCACTCTGCATTGGCCGGTTTCTGGAGGGCACACCTTGAGTCGGTGAGGAGCACCATCCGGTGAGGTGACAGCTGGGCAGCCGCTTGGAGGGCCTTGTCAATAGCCACTAGCTCGGCCGTCGTGGAGGATGTAGGCGCCTGTAGCCTGCCGCACCATTCCAGGGCTAACTCCGGGATGTAGAAAGCTGCCGTGCTGGATGTTCTAGCCTTGTTTACGGAGCCGTCCGTGTATATCTGCAGCCAACCACCGTAGCGTTCTTCGATGTGTTTTTCCACAGCTTCTCTGAGAGCGTTGATCGGTCCAACTTTTTTGGCTCGCAGGCGCTTGATCCGTAGCTCGATGGATACCTTGGCAACTTCCCAGGGCGCTACCCTTGCTTCGCTCGTCATCGTCGGTAGCGGGCCGGCTATGTTAAGGAAATCTTCTACCGTGTCGTGCCATGACCCTTTGGTCCGAGCTTAAATTCGCTGCAGGAACCACCTTCCTGGGAGAGTCGTAGAGAGCCGGGCTAACTGGGAGAGTCTTCTGGCTCTGGCCTGGACTGTAAGCGGCTCTGCTCCCGCCTCCTGGAGTACCACAGCATTCTTGGCCGCGTTGGGAATTCCCAGTGCTGTACGTAGCCCGCGTCTGTGCCCTTGCTCCAGCCTCTCCATATCCGTCTGGGACGGGAACATGTAAGGAAGCCTGTACAGGATTCTAGACGTCACCAGCGCGGACTGGGCGCTAGTGATGGTCCGTTCTGTGCAACCCCATGTGGTACCCGTCATGTGGCGGACAGCGTTCATGGCCGGCCTGCATACGGCGGTTGTCGCTTTCACTGCTTGTGCCCAGCGCAACCGACTTGTGATGACAATTCCTAAGAAGCGTTGTTTGTTCACACACGTGAGGGGTTTTCCTGCCAGTTTGATGTCAGGGGGGCGAAAACGTCGACCATTTCCGCGTACCGGCATCCAGACAGTCTTATCCTGGGAGAGGGATAGCCCGGATTTGGTCAGGAAGGTGTCTACCGCTTGAACGGCGCTTTGTATGCTGCGGTGGATCTGCGTGGTGTAGATGCCCGTAACCCAGAGGCAGATGTCGTCTGCGTAGATCGACACCTGAACCGGGAGAGGGGTCGAAGGAAGAGAGTGCGGTAGTGGTGCCATAACCATGTTGAAGAGAATCGGGCTTAGCACGCTTCCCTGAGGCAGTCCTCTGTGAAGCAGTCTTGGCGAGGATGCCGCGCCTTCAGCTTGAATCTGGATCTTGCGTCCGGTAAGAAAATTGGCCAGGAAGACTTGAATTTTTCCGGTCAGTCCAATCTCAGTCAATCTCCGGAGTATAGTGGATGGCGGCACGCCGTCGTAGGCTCGTTCCACGTCGAGGAAGACTGCCACCGTGTTTCTCCGCCTGTTTTTGTTTTCCTCAAGGTCGCTCGTGAGGTCCAGGATGCTGTCTTGTGCTGCCAGCCCTCTCCTAAAGCCAGTCATGCACTCCGGGAGACACATGCGTTCTTCCAGGTACCACCGAAGGCGCCACTGCACAAGTCTTTCGAACAGCTTACTTATGCACGAGGTCAGCGAGATTGGGCGGTAAGACTCAGCTTTGTCTGGGGGCTTCCCTGGCTTCAGTAGTGGAACAACCGTTGCTACTTTCCATTCTTCTGGGACGTCGCCAGAGTCCCATATGGAGTTGAACCAGGTGAGGAGGGCCTCGAGTGCATCGTTCGTTAAGTTCGTGAGCGCCTGGTAAGGTATCCCGTCGGGCCCAGCTGCAGTCTTCTTACGACACTTCCGGAGGGCGCTTTGGAGTTCCGGTGCAGTAAAGGGGGCATCTAGGGGCCCAGGCGCAGCGTCGGGTGCCAGCGGTCGTTCCGTCGCTTCTGCGGGGCCGTACAGTGCGCCTAGTCTCTCTGCTGCATCCAAGAGTGTTACGTTAGCCGCAAGCGCTAGGACTTGCAAAGCGTGTCTTGTCCGACGTTTCCCGGTCATTGCCCCCAGTACCGCCCACAACTTCGCGAGGGAGGTGGGTGCGTTGACGTCTTTGCACATGAGCTTCCATCTATTTCTAACCAGCGCTTTAGCGTGTCTTCGCAGCTTGGCTGATATTCTGTTGAACTTGGACTTATCCGCTGGATTGTTTGTCCTGCGGTACTTCCTCTGCGCCCTGGTACGTGCCGCTTGGAGATTGACGAAAGTAAGGTCCGGTTTGGGGAGCCATTCCGAGACACGGGACGTGCGCGTTGCCGCCTGCAGCGCGTGAACGATGGCTTCTGGGATGTCTGTTTGGGTGAGGTCCAAGGATGCACGGAAAACGTCCCAGTTCGTGCACGATCGCGTCACCTTTCGGGCCGTCTGGCACCCCTTTATCGTGATATGAATGGGGAAGTGGTCGCTTCCTCTGGTATCTGGTGCTGTTTCCCAAGTCAGCTCCAGCGATGGTGTGTGTGCTGTGACGTCGAGGACACTATACGTTCGAGGGGGCCTGAAGAAGGTAGGCGCACCGTTGTTCGCGACAACCAATCCGAGCTCTTCTATCATTTGATTGAGGGCGTCTCCCCGCTTGTTGGTTTTCTGACTTCCCCATACCTCGCAGTGCGCATTGAAGTCGCCGCACAGTAAAAGGTCTCCCTCAATGCCTTTACACCACTCTACAATGTCCTTCGTCGGCAGCGGCGTACCATCGGGACGTACGTATCCGACGAGTACATGCAGCGAGCGATTTCCGAGGCTGACTTTTGCGGCCACGAATTCCGCCGATAATGTACACAGTCGGCTGGTGTCAACTGGGACGTGAGGCACCCCTCGTCGAATAAAAAGAGCCGCGCTCCCATGGGGGAAACTTGGTATGGATTGGGTTGTAAGTTTCACGTATCCAGGTAAAGTTTGCTTCCCTGGTAACCCTGCCTCTGCGAGTGCCAGCACAGGGCTGGGATAGCGTTGCAGGTGCAGGCTGAGCTCACTGTGTTTGACGGAGAGACCTCGGCAGTTCCACTGCAGCACAGTTGGTACGTCACTCCGCCTAGGGTGGGACTCTTCCTTAGGACAACGGGTTACTGTTGTGGGAGATTGGTGTTGTGGACGCATGGTGCGTGCTCAGGCGGACTGTGGGGCGATAGCCTCGAGACTTTCGCTGACGGCGTCAAGAACTTCCAGTGCGAACTTTGCTTCTGGTGTGTGGCCCCGTGCTTGGGCCAGTTGCCTTACTGCGCGAAACAAGCGTGATACCATTCGGAGCAAGGCGACGTCAGCTGTCTCCATCGTCCCAGGAACTTTGCCCTGAGCCCTTCGTGCGGCCTTGGCATAGCGGCAGCCCTTGTCCTCCATCGTAGTGTCGTCCGGCCGGAGACCGCGGCTGTGATTCTTCTTTGGAGGGTGAGTGGTATCCTGGTCCCTCCTTTTCTCCCTCCCTTCGGTCTGACTCCCTGGCAGCGGCGGGAAATCTGTTAAGGATAGCCTCCGTTGGGACCTCGCCTTGCGAAGTTCTGTGTCCGCTGCTTGCGCAGCGTTTCGGTGACCCTTGCCGGTGTTCTGCTTGCGTATAGCCGCTTTTGCTTCCGAGTGGGTGTACGCCGTTTTGGCGCGCATCTTGCACACACGGCGTTCTTTCCTCAGGACTGAACACTGGCCGGAAGTTGCTGCATGGCCCTTTCCGCAGTTGATGCAGCGAGAAGTTTCACTGTCACACGCCGTGGATTCATGCCCGCCCGAGCACTTGGCGCACGTCTGCTCTTTTTGACAGGCCGCTGCCACGTGTCCGATTCTGTTGCATCGAAAGCACTGCAGTGGTCTTGCCACGTAGAGCGTGACTGGGTGACGCACGTACCCCATGTGGACGTAGTGCGGCAGGTCTTTGCCTGCGAAGGTGACTCGAATTGTGGTGCTCTTCCCCAGACGCCGCACGTCGAGGACTTGGTGATCTGGGGCCCGCAGGGCTTCGAGAATTTCTTTATCCGTCAGTGCCTGGTCTACATCACGGACGACTCCCGCGATGTGGCGGACCTTCCAGGGTACGCGTGCGTCGACAGGCGTCTCGCAGATCTTTTGAATTTGAAGGAGCGCTGGCACAGCTTCTTCCGTCAGGACGTCGACTGCTATCAAATTTTTCCTGCCGTTGACCCTTATCTCCCTGACCTGTTGGGAAGCAACTGAGCCAAAGAGGGCATTCAAATGAGGTCTGCTGAGCGCCCGGACGCTGGTCTTGTCTGTCGGTAGGAACAGCACCGTGTGTCCATTGGCCGCGTTTTTAGATGACGTGCGAGATCCCCAGGAGACCACGGTGTCACCGCTGTTTGGCGAGACTAGCACGGAGAAAACCGCCGCTTATCTTGCCTCGACGCCCAAAAACTGCGCTTGCGCAGACAAAGTTCGCCACGGTTTCCAAGCTCGCTGGCACTGTAGCGCAGGGTCAATGATGACGGGGCAGGAGATGGTCCTCGAAATCAGCAGCGTCGAACAATGTAGACGACGGCGAAAAGCGGGCACAGGCCTCCGAATCGGCAACTGCAATAGGCGTGTTGTTCAGTTAGCAGTGTTGACAAGACGCTGCCGCCGCTGCCAAATCACTTATTTGGCAGCGGCGGCTTATTTGCTTTGTTTTCTTTTGTGTTGCATCGGGGCGATAAACCTTTAGGGGCCAAGCGCCTTAGGGGCTAGCCATGTCCGTATGTACGTCCGCCGTCCGGCGTGCCCCTGCTCGTGCGTTTAGCAGCGAGAGCAAAAAAAAAAAAATGAAAAGAAAAAGATGAAAAAAAAGAAAAAAAAAAGAAAAAGAAGGAAAAAATAGGGGCTCTGAGATGCCATCCCATCTGTCTCCTTAAAAAAAGAAAAAGAAGAGCACCACACATTCTTCTACTGACATGAATGAAAATGGCACCATCAGCACTACCTATGACCAAAATCAGTATCAAGAAAACGAAGAAAAAAAAGAGTAGGGGGTTCTGAGTTGCCATCCCATCTGTCTTCTTACAAAAAGAAAAAGAAGAAAACCACAGATTCTTCCACTGGCATGAATGAAAACGGCACCATCAGCACTACCTATGACCAAAATCAGTATCATCAGCACAACCCCGAGCTTCGCCCCAATCAATATCATTCTCCACGTGGAGACGCGGTAATTTTTTAAAGGGAGGAGTAATGCTGCGCACAGGCAGCTGGCCAAGTAGGCTCCGCGCGCGTGGCCTACCGGTTATTGTGCTTGCCTCCCACGCGAAAAGCCAGGGTTTGATTCTTGAGAGCGACGCGCCTTTTATTTATTCTTGCAATTTAAAGTTCTAATAAATGCTCTACATGCCGAACCTTCTGCAACGGTTGTTCCAAAAGCCCGCACGTGCTCGTAAGGGGCTCCGCGTGGCGAGCCGAAGTCAGCCTCGCCCCAGCATTCGATCCTGCTGTTATGTCGACTTCGACGCCTGCGACACTCTGTTTTTATCTTCAATTCCAGTTTCGTTTAGGGCACACGTTCGCCCAATTAAACGGTTGTTTTTTCCTGTTTATTTATTGTTGGTTTGGTCAACACCCAAGAAAATATCATATTAAACTACATAAAAACTACAGTTTCTCCCCTATCTGTCGTAGACGATTTTTAAAATCCCGTGTTCGTTCCAAGTTAGATTACGCTACTGCAATCTTGCTAGTGAAATATCTTATATGTATAACATTTTTCTTTGTTCATTGAAAGCATATTATCAAGTAAGGTATATAAGAGCATACGATGCGTAGTCAAAAAGTAGCAGCAATTTAGCTGTGAGAAAATTAAATCTAGTGATAAACTGCTGCACTGAAAATATGTTTTGACCTACCACAAGAGGGACGCCGGCCTGGCGACTTGATGGGAATTTTCACGTGACCACAGCGCCTTCAAAATGGCCTCCTCCTTTTTAGCATGTACCAGGGACGAGCAGCGTTCGGTTATCTGATACTTGAATGCGGAGAGCCAAACACTTGCGGATATTCATTGCAGGATGCTGAGGTAGTACGGAGACGCCTGTGTATTGCTTCGGCAGGTGTACGAATGGCGAAAAAATTGGCAAAGTGGAGCGTCCAGTTTGTCGGACGTGCCTCGCTCCGGCCGGGCTCACACTTCAACAACGCCGGACACAATCTCTGCTGTGGAGCGGCTCATACACGGGAACCGGCATGTCACCATCAATGAAGTGGCTGAAGAATTCAATATCAGCCCCGGCTCGACGTACTAAGTCATTCATAATATTCTGAAGTACCACAAAGTATCCTCCAGGTGGGTAACAAAACAACTTATGCCGGACCTTAAGGAGCGCCGTGTGGATGCTTGTGAGACGCTACTGCGAAACCCGGGGAGATTATGTTCATGGACGCATTCTCACCGGAGATGAATGCTGGGTACACTGCGCCCAGCCAAAGACAAAGCGAGCAAGCAAAGAGTGGCGACACACAACGTCACCAAGGCCGAAGAAATTCAAGACAGCGTCATCAGTGGGCAAGCTAATGATCACCGTCTTTTGGGACCATAGCTGAACCTTACATGCCAAAGGTACTCACCGTGAATATTGCATCATACTGCAACCTGCTTGAGAACTACTTGAAGTCTGCAATCAGGTCAAAGTGTCACGGATTGCTCGGCTCAAGGGTCTTGCAGCAGCACGATAAAGCGCGCCCTCACACGGCACGTACGACAGCGGAAGAAATCAAAGGACTACGGTTCGAGTGAATTCCGCACCCATCATACACGCCAGACCTCGCACCGAGTGATTTTGCCCTATTCCGACCCCTCAAAGGGGCTCTCGGGGGAAAGAAGTTTGATACCGATGGTGACTTGATAGTGGCAGTGCATTTCTGGCTCCGGAGTCAGTCACAAGATTTTTTTTTTCCCGCGGCATCTATGCATTGGTGAAGCGTTGGCGTACAGTAAATGTGTAAAGGGGCTTTTCATGATATCTATAGAGCGACGCAAATAAAAAATAAATTGCAGTTACTTTTTGACATGTGTAGGAACCATACAAGAGTATATAAGGCGTTATAAGAAACTAATAGAAGTCTCCTATAACTTTTTCTATTAAACTTATACTCTTGTTATATATTCTAATAAGGTTCTTATATTCTTTTGTAGGATCTTATTTTATCATATGCGTTTATTGTACCAAAATATGTCTTATATATATACTGTAAACGACTAAATTTTCGAAAGAACCTAATTTTCGCGAATTTCACGAATCGCCTACAATTCGCGAAAAATACGTCCCGCGAACAACTCGGGCAATATGTGAACGCCACGGAAGCTACACTCGATTCGCGAAAACTAGAACCCGTGAAAAATTTCAAATATTCAGCTTTGGCCCGATTCGCGAAAATTTGAGCCCGCGAAAATTAAGTCGTTTACAGTATATAGGATTTTTTACCAGGGCTCGGATCCTGTTCAGACGACACTTACCACTAACCCGAAATTACTTAAAAATCATGTCGCTCACATTATATGTAGGAACTATCATTGTACATCCAGTATATCATTTATAAAAGCTAAGTTTTTTACCCTCTTTTTTTTCGTCGCGTCATGGGTGCTCTCATAATATATCCCACTATCGTATTATAATAACAAAACTACGCCCCCGACTCCTCTTGCGTTATTTATTCACCCATCGATCACCAGTTCAAATTTGGCATTCCACTTCCTTGGACCTCAGCCTATACCAATTATTTGATACCTAGTATGCATCATCATAGTGCAACTACCGGCGCGCATTATTATTATCAATACCTTCATAATATCTGTTAATAGATGTTAATACTTGTGTTTTTCTTCTTTCTTTTCTTATAAATGGCCCATGATTGTGTTTAATATTAATTTATGTCTATTTTGCTCCGTATAGTTTCCCACTCCTTTCTGAGGCGCCCTTTGACCCTGTGGGTACTGCAAAAAAATATATAAGTGAATTCTTAGCCTAAGCAATAGAAGGCTTCAATGCGCTTGGTTCTTTCTCACCTTGATTACGCGATAAAACTCTATATGAAAGACATATTTACTTGTAGACATGAAACGAATATTTTTAGTCTACACTTGTGAATTCTTGCAAAATAAACAACATCCACAGCGTATTCTCTTAAAGTTTTCCAAACGGAAAACCGAAACGGAATGTTTAAAGCGGTGAAACTTGCGCGCAAACAATTTCCAAACAGGACAATAGTCTACGGGCTCTTTCCTAAACAACGAGCCTGTAATGCATCATCGCTTTCTCTTTTGTTATTTGATTCAAAGACGCTTTTTTTTCTTTCCGGTTCCAGTAGATGACTATCTGAATGAAAGTCCAGAGCCACGTGGTAAGCACATTATAATTTTGTCGCGCAGATCAGTTAACACTCAATGAGAGGTTCTGCCTATTCGGTGCGAAAAGACTAGAAACTCTGATTAACCCTGTGTGACCCTGTTACCATCAACACTACATCAAAATTTATTATTTCTCTTGAAAGGTATTTCTGAGCATCAAATTTTACTACTTCAGCTCGGTCTCTAAATTCGCATTTTCTATTGCGGTGAAATGAATAAGCGCCATTCAATGCTAAGACGAAAAAAAACTGAGAAGTACTCGCTCGTTCGTGCTAACTTTCTCGGGCTCCGCCGAACTGTGTGTTCGAGCGAATGTTTGGCCATTAAGGGCATCCTGGTGTCTGGAACCTTCTAGCTGATGCAGAGCTTCCAGATGTCTGGCGACCTGAAATGTACATCATGATTGACAGCTCAATAAACGAGTACCTGAGAGGTATCAAGAGGCTACAAGTGCTCTACATTGTAAGGCTTATGAATATCGTGAGTAAGCTTTTTGTATTTAATATTTGTACGTTATTTAGACAAAATTGTAATCTGCTGTTAAGAGCTGAACATCGGTATTCTCAGTGAACACACCGAGTTTGTTTGCCACTCACCGGCTTCGTGCACGCAGGTTAATGCAATCTTCAAGACGGTCAAGAAACCCTTAATAAACCTCCAACTTGTTGGAATATATCGGTTCCAAGTAAGTATTAATAATTGAGAACGTCAGATATTAACATTTTTACATTTTATGAATCTTTAAACATTAAAGGCGAGTTCATCACATTTAACATTAAATAAACTATTTTCAATTCTTTTATTCAAGTATATTGTGACCTGTATTCATGGTCACGATAAAACTTGCTTTAGTGGAATAATAATTTCTGGCCGAGAATAATCTTGCTTCCCATGGCTGGTCGGGCCATAAAGTTTGAAGATGGCGTTGTCAGCATCGAGAAGGCATTACGACTCGATGATCTGCAGGCGCTGCCACTTCCAGAGAGCATTCGGTGCTCAGCTTCAGAAGTTTCAATATCACTATTTATGTTTTACTCTAAATGCCTACAGACAAAACAGGATGAGCCATTTATTGTGGAGGAAGGTGGATTCATCGAGGGGCATGAAACGTTGAATGGCTTTGGTAATTTCACAAAACATACATCGTTTGCAAGACATGCAGATTTCTACTTTTTGCTCGCTGGGTAAGCACGCAAACGAGCATTTGACCTAAGGCTTATTTGTATCATAAATGTGAATTAACATAGATTGTTGTTTTATGCTATTTCAATTCCACAAAATGGTGTCTGTGTCCAAATAACTGTTTCGGTTTGCCAGTATGAATGAAGAATTATTGAAGGCGAAACCAAATTTCGTTAAATAATTCTATAACATTTAAGTACCAAGAACCTTTCTTATATATTAAAGCCTATGCGCTTTGCAGGTGAACAAAAATGAATCGATTCTTTCTCACAAAGGGGGTCATTTTTACGGTGAAACCTTGATTAGCTTTTGCAGTGGATAGAACTTAGCCGCTAGGTGTTCCGATACCCACAAACGCATCTTTAAATATAGTCGGTGGCAGGTTATGAGTTCAGTAAAATCTCCTCCCACGTCTTTCTAGTTTAGCAGAAGGAACGCTGTAGACGCCTTCTCTCCAGCGTTCGCCCTGCTAAAGTAAGGAGAGGTGAGAAGAGCTTCCACTTTACACTTAACCTGTCACCGACTTAGCCCTTCAGCAAAAGCGTAGTAGAGTTTTTTTTTTCTGGAATATACATAGATATTCGTGTTTTTTTTTTGTTTTTTTTTTTGTTGTGTAGTGCAAGTGCGATTCATTATGGTAAGGTGCCTCTATCTCTCTTTATTTTTAGTCAATAAAAACAGCAAAATTTTTGGGTACTGATCAGATTTCTCCTAAAACAATAGTGTTTTTTAGGAGAAACTGCAATATTGCCTACTGCAATGTATCAGGTTTCACTCAGCTAAACCTAATTCAATGGGCCTCCCATCCGGTGCCTCCACAGGCGGTAAGACCAAATCTCGCCACTGCATGGGCAAAGAAGTGGGGAGAACGGCAGATGACGAAATGTAGTTCCTGCATTATTAATGACGTAGCATTAGTGGCCTAGCACAGTGATTCTCAGCCATTGATGTTTCCGGACCCCTTGTGGATCGACGGATCTCATGGAGGACCCTTTTGTGGTGAGGGGAAGGGAAATATTTAAGTTAATTACGATAATTAGTTAATAAACGAATAAAACTAAGGGCTAATGTAAATTAGACTTTTCTGATTGACATACACATGAGAAAACACAACCGAAAATTAGAACGTTTCGTGCCAATATGAAAAAAAACACAACTTTAATTGCCGGGCTTGACTGGTGAGGCAGAGCTTCGCGGACCCCCATTTGAGAACCACTGCCCTAGCACATGCGATGGCCTTGGACAGGTTGGAACCACACGTATGCAGCACACGTTCGCAACGTCGCCACGGGATGGCGCCAAAACCCCTCTGACAATGGGACGCATAGTAACGTAATCCGCACTAGATCAGCTGGTTATAGGGAGCGACGCAGTGACGTAACGGTTACACCTAGCAACCGAAAATCGCCGGCGACGTCCCCCTTCGACAATTTCGGCGCCGCGCAGTGGGGAGGCCGGGTGTATCACTGGGGCGCGTGTGAACCCACCCCGGCCACACGTCCACGCCGCTTACCGGCGACAGTCTGCGGGTACCTCACCACAAAACATTAACCCACTATGGTTCACTCCTACACGCCGCCCAACGGCACCCCACCGGCGGCCCAAGTGCGCTTTAACCCCGCTGTCTTCTACTGCAAACTTGTTTCTATGTGTTACATCACGCTGCCGCTCTCTATAACCAGCCAAACCTGTTCGGCCGCCGTCCTACAGTTTCGAGAATGTTCATAACGCGGAAAAGTGCTGAAAGGGTGCATTCACCATACTTTGCTTATAACCGCTGCCAGAATCGCTCACGCATTACCCCTAGAATCAGCGTGGCGGCAACAGCGATTTCGACCAATCTTTCTTGTTTTTGTTTTCCTTGTTCGAAGCAAGTCTTAACTAGAGCAAACACTTAGTCGGCTTTGCCAATAACAAGGGAGGGGGCGGGGGGGGGGGGGGGCAGGGGGGAGGGGGATGGGGAAAAAAGTAGGTGCTTCATGAGGTCGTCTAGGATACTGTAATGAAAATAACCGGCAGTTACGAGGCATTTATAAATCGCGCACTGTCCATATTTTACCAAGTACTTTCCCGATCTGCTTGGAGTTACACTTAAAATAAAGTGCGACAAAATATTTCAGCGCTAAGAAATAAATATGAAACTAAATATTTGTATGCTTGATTTCAGGCGTCGCTTAGGAAAACGGAACAAACAAGGGAAAATATCTCCCAATCTTCTAGGTAAGGCAAATTAATAACCAACTTTAAATGTCGGAGATTTATCGGAATATTGAACAAACGGATTTTACTGGCTACCAGCTAGAATGACTGATCTCCCTCTTGAATCCGCCTTTTTAATTTAATGCGAGTTATCCATACTGAATTAAATTATTTTGCCCTGTTCGAAATCTAGAATCTGTGAGTATAAATTTTAAAGTGGTAGCTTAGCAGGGCCAACTAACTTCAGGAGCCGCGTAAGCACGAAATGTGTAGGTCGGTCATTCTGTAACCGCTTAACGATTTTGGAAAAATAAAACGACAACAGGTTCAACGAATCGCGTCCCTGGCACCGGCGTAGAAACCGAGAGCGCTGTTGACTGAGCCACAGACCCAACACACAGTAACGGGAGGAGCAGAAGCCGGTGGTCTACGAAAGCGTGCGGAGCAGAGAGGGGTGGATAGGACATAAAAGAGAAAAGCAGTGACTGGTGCTAAAGGAGCGCACTGAACGAGGAGTGGAAAAGGCAATAAAGCTTGCTTTCCCTCTATCGGTGACCTAAAAAAATCAGCTGGAAGACACACTCTAAGGACAAAAGGAGCAAAAAGGAGTAACGGCGCGTTTTCTTCCCCTCGACTGACGCTCTCCCAAGCGGATCGGAGAAGCATGGGAGGAACAGGATGACGTCCTTCTTCCCAGGCTAATGGAAGAATGTCTCCACCTCGCGCATTTGTTTTTTTATATTTTTATATCGAAAGGGAGACATCCCAAAAAGTGCTAAGCGATAATACCTCAGAGAACAACCCTGTAAGTCAACCACAGGCCATCCCATAACACCCTCCTCTTCCAATCCTTCCAAGGAAGACAAGCACTTCTGCTGCTTCGCTTATGTTACCAGCTGCACTGTTTCTACCTTTAATTTTGGAATACATTTAATTTGGGAAGATCAGCGAACGAGGAGGCCGTCATATTCAGCGTAGTTCAGAAATCATGCTACGTACACCGGCCATGGCATTGCTGGCGGTGTTTGGCCAGCTGGGCGTCGGCTTATAGCATGCGAGCGGTTCGACCAGCCGTAGGCCCGATGATACGAGTACGTTCAAGACTCGAGGGCTGCTGCCTGCCCGTGCCAAACCTCGAACTCCACGTAGCAGCGACTCTCATGGCCATTATTTGTCTGCGCGCCTCATGTACTACGTTCTTGCCGAATGCCTCAACCGATGATCGCCCTGTTTCTGTTTCTCCGCGCACAACCAACATTGTTCAGGTACTGCTGTCTGTTCTGAAAGGGGTCATGAACGGTTATGCGAACGGTCGCCAATGTATTCATTTGCACGAGTGTAAACCGACGATCACTTGGTGATCATTTTGGTTCGTGACTCTCTGCATCAGCAGTATCGCTAAAACAGTGCTGTTTATCCTGAAAGCTGTGAACGAAGACGCGACCGATTGTTCAGGTCTCCCTGTGTTTCGCAGCAATATTGCCGCGCGCAAGGCTGAGAAAGCAACGCTCGGTCACGGTCCTCCAGAAAGTTCCCGTTTATTTACGTACCGCACGTAACTTCTATCATTTATCCCTGCTTTTGTTTTCTAGAAAGTGCGTGTTCATTCTCGCCCCGATCACGCGACGCTCGAACCGCTTTCGCCGAATCTTCGAGATAGCGGCGCACTCTAGATAAGAGGCCGCCCGCGACCTTGTCGAGTCAGTCTCGCCCTAGCGCTCGATTCTGCTGACACGCCGGCTTCGACGCCCGCGACGCTCTGCTTTCTTCTGTTTCCTTCTTTATTTTTGGCACAAGTTCGCCACATTAAACGTTTATTTATTTCTCTTTATTTCTTGTTTATTGGTCACGACTCACCACCCGTGACATTCTGGTGGAGGTGCGGGGTACCGCATGTTCGTGCAGCGCAGCCCTCCGAGTTCCCGAAGTACAAGTCCGAATCCAAGCTCCCGAGGACCCAACGAAGACCAGATCGAGACTCGATCAAGTCGCCGCACCCAAGGGCTAAACCCGGAATACGGACTTCTACCACCCAGGACCAGGCAGCCGACGATGGCCAACCAGTCGCAGACCCCCGCCGCTCCTGCCGTCGTCTACCTACCCGTCGCTCCTCGGACACCGGCTCCGTTCCACGGCGAACTCCACGAAGACGTTGAAGATTGGATCGACCAATTCGAACGCGTCGCCCGCCACAATAGCTGGACCAACGAGCAACGGCTGCAAAACGTGTATTTCTCGCTCGAGGGGACTGCCAGAAGCTGGTACGAAAATCACGAGTCTTCATTGACATCCTGGGACATTTTCAAGAGCCAGCTGAAGGCGACATTTGTCAACCAGCACCGCCGAGAGAGAGCCGAAGACTTACTTCGTACCAGGACTCAAGGCCCCAACGAGAGCATTACCGGCTTCGTGGAGGATGTTCTCCGCCTAAGCGCCCGCGCCGATCCTCAGGCTACCGAGGAGAAGAAGCTGCACCACCTGATGAGGGGTGTGAAAAGCGTGATTTTCGGCGGTCTCATCCGGAATCCCCCAACAACAGTCGACGAGTTCATCACGGAGGCGACAAATATGGAACGGGCCTTGCTAGCCCGCGCCAGACACTACCAACGACACCCTGACGTAACTACTCTAGCGACATCTGGATCCGACCTGGGCACCACCCTCCCCGGCATCCGTGACCTTATCCGGGAAGCCATCCAGGAGGAGTTGAAGAAGTTGCTACCTACTGCCACAAGCCTGGCTACGCCCTCAGTCGCCGAGATTGTCCGGGAAGAACTTCACCAGGCGCTGCAGCCAGAAGTTCTCGCCAGCGCCGCTCCGGAACCACCGAAGCTGAGCTACGGCGCAGCTACCCGACGACCACCGCCCCCTGCTCACCCGTATACGGCGCCACCTCGACGTGAACCTCTAGCGCCGCAGTATTCACGACGCCATGAAGATCGGGCGTACGTCCGCCCAGAACAAGCTGCTCCACGAAAGACCGACGTGTGGAGGACGGCCGATCGACGCCCGTTGTGCTACCACTGCGGGGAGGCCGACCATATCTACCGTCGTTGTCCCTACCGGCAAATGGGCCTGCGTGGGCTCCACCCAAACGACCCACGCCCGAGGTACGGCGAACGCCCTCACGACATCGAGGAGTACCTCCGACGTTCGCCTTCCCCAGTGTCGTCTCTCCGCCGTGAAGCCCGCTCCCCATCGCCACGACGTTCAGCCTCCCCAGCGCCACGATCCCGCCGAGAGAGCCTGTCTCCCCTGCGTCGTCGGGAAAACTGAGTGCGGCAACGCCTGGAGGTGACGTTGCCGAAAACGACGGAAGCAAACAGCCTCCAAGAACGCCGGAGCGCTCCCACTCTCTCGACGCCCCGCATTGCACCGACGCGCCTGCAACGGTGTCCAATAACCTAAACGTTGTTATCGATGGCCAAAACGCATCGGCACTCGTTGACACCGGGGCAGACTACTCAGTATTGAGTGGGAGGCTCTCTCGCCACCTTCGAAAAGTCACGACGCCGTGGGATGGACCGCAGATACGAACCGCCGGAGGACACCTCATCACGCCTGTCGGAAGGTGCACCGCTCGCGTCGATATTCACGGCGAGACGTGTCCTGTGAAATTCGTCATTCTACAAGACTGTTCCAGAGACGTCATTCTCGGCATGGACGTTTTGTGTGAATACGTCGCCGTCATCAACCTCTGTTTTTTTTATCCGGAACATGGGTCTAAAGTATCAAACTGCCAAAGGGTCGGGCAGACAATTCAGAGTTAGGACTCTGAGCGACTAATTCATTGGGTACGACCTCATCGCTTTCTATTCGATATGCTTGACCCTCGTTTCAAAGACACGCTGTAATAAAATAATTACCTTCAAAAGAGCTCTGTGTCTTGGTCCCTCAGCCTGGGAACAAGGTTCGCCGGATACCCGTTGGTATTTTGGTTTAGAAAGATTTCGCGCACCTAGAAGGCTCTTCTGGGCGTTAAGCCGTCTACACATATATGCACTAATGGCGTATGTAAAAGAATTTGTCATTTTTTATTTCAGTGGCCTACGTGTCCGCAATAGATGCACACCCAACCACAGGAACCGGAACCACACTGCACGCGCTAATCCGCAGCAATAACCGCCGTACAAGAAGCGCTAATAGGAAGTTTTCGTAGACCGCATTGCCTTCTCCGCTAAGCGATCCGCAACGAAGAAGTTGCTACTGCGCCTGCGCGCCGATAGCCTTGACTGTGGAGTTTCAGCTATCGTAGTGGGTTGCGGAGGGCCTTGCGGGACGGCGAAAACGATCTACGAAAACTCCCTAATAAGACGCTATACTTAAGCGCTAACAAGGCGCTACAAAAGCGCTAATCACGCGCTATATTAGAATTAAGTCACGCGCTAGGAAGCGCCACATGAGCGCTTCTTGGAGTGCTTACGTAGCGGTAACTTAGCGCTCCGCTGAATGTGTGAACAGGCTTTTACTTAGTTGTGAATGAACCTGGCGGCCCTGATCTTTGACATTGAGTTCGCTGTTGGGTGAGACTAAAGTCACTAGATCCGGGAAAGTAGCTCCCTTGCTTCCCTGCCTGCTAACCGGACACAGATATACTAACGCACGGACGACCAAAACCACACAAGGCAACTGGCTGATCGGTCACCATTGCCGTGGTGATCGCCATTCTAATGCGAAAGCATTAACTGTCCCATGGAGCGAGCTGACGCCATCAGTTTGAAGCACGAAAACGGCACCAAGTTTCCCCGATCCTTCAGTTCCATTGGCTGGCGCGCGTCGGCGGGGCTCCCATTGGCCGCTGCGCTCGTCAGGTTCCACGACCACTCACCCCATGGCGCTGCGTGTCCATCAGCGCACCGTTGACACGGAGCGTCCAAGGCTGCAGTGTGCCTAGGGGAGCAAGCGCGCTGACCGGCGACGAAAAGTAATTGCAGCAGACGACAAAGGGAGCGGACGAGCAGACGACAGAGGGAGCGGAAGAGCGGCTTGTATGCTTTCGCATTCACAACTCATAAGAAGTGCACTCTCAACAAAA